AGCAGGAATATTATCAATAAAAATTAAAGCAAAAATCAGATATGAAATTGATCAGTTTGGGGTACAGTTTGAGAAGTCAAAGGAAATTTCATTGATTAAACATGTGAAATTTTATAAAACTATATCACAATTTTGTACTTTTCCAAGTCAGTTTTATATATAATAATATTCACCTCTCCTGACAATTTGAACCAATTCACTTCTTCCATGTTCTGTTACTTTCAAAATTTGTACTCTCTGCCAATTTCATTAATTCCTGTCATCAGATGGGTTTCTTTCTCTAGTTTGAGAAGTCAAAGGAAATTTCATTAATTAAACATGTGAAATTTTATAAAACTATATCACAATTTTGTACTTTTCCAAGTCAGTTTTATATATAATAATATTCACCTCTCCTGACAATTTGAACCAATTCACTTCTTCCATGTTCTGTTACTTTCAAAATTTGTACTCTCTGCCAATTTCATTAATTCCTGTCATCAGATGGGTTTCTTTCTCTTTTTTATTTTTTTTATTTTTTGAGAGGTTTTTCGCTATAGGGCGCGTGTGCTCGCCAGACAGACAGAGAAAGACATAGAGACAGAAAGTGAGAAATCACTCTCCAGGGGAGATGGTCACGCTGCAATCCCTTCTCCTCCATTATCCTCTCGGGATCTTGGGTATGCATGCACACACACCCGGTGTGAGTTTTAAGCCACCAGGTCCGGGACGTGAACCGCAGTCAACTACGTGGGAGTCCAGCGACATAGCCATTACACTAACTGCTGGCTCCCTAGATGGGTTTCTTTCTCTTACATTATATTCAATAAACTCCACTACAAATTGTATCGTATTAAATTTCAACATGTACTCCCGTATATCTTAAATGTCTGAATTTCTACATTCCTCCTAGTATTTCTTAGCATCCTCCATCATTCTACTTCTTCTTCTACCCAGCCTAGATTAAGTAGTTGACTGAATTAATCATTCTCACATAAGATCCCATAACTTCCTTGTTCTTAATTCTTCTGTTGCACCAGCCTAGCAAAGTCCTAATCCCAGATCAAGCCCCAAACCCATTCTTTCTTTTTTCACTGTCCAAATAACTGACCCCATTAAAAATATTAGTCTTTTTGGAATAGAAAACCAAGATATGAATGACCTTCCATGTAGGATTTTTTGCTCCAGCCTCTTTTTATGTGCACCTGATTAGTATATTCACCTATTCCTGTGGTGGTTATTTATCACTGCATAGTAGTAAAACTTCCTCCTCTATTCTGCTCTCGCATCCATCTTCTTTCTCAGATGACCTTACGCCTTACCTCATAAAGAAAACGAGGGTATTGGATGAGAAGCAGCACAATTTCATCCATTGTCTCAATTCAACACTTACAATCTTATCCACTGCTCTTCCTTCTCAACACAGCTGTGTTCCTGTCACTCAAGATGAGTTCCCATACTCCTCTTAGCTCTCTCAGGATCTCATATTGATTGGTCCTTTGCACTCCTAGATCATTATAATCTCCTCCACTGTCTACTAGATTTATATAAAGTCTATTCAGTCCCCCAAATAATTCTCCTCTTGTTTATGCACCTCATTATAGCTCGTTGTCACCTTCCTTCTTTTCTTAAATTAACTTCTCACAGTAGTTTGCACCAGTTGTTTCTTTTTCATCACTTTCTATACATCCTTCAATGCACTTCAAAATGGCAAACATGTCCCCATAACTTCCTTCAATTTCTAGCTCTGTGATTGTGAACCACCCAGTGAGAATTGATGGCAGAATTTGCAGTGCCCCCAATACCAGCCTTGCAGAAGTAATCTTATTTTTTAAAAAATTATTATTTTATTTAATATTTATTTATTTACTTATTTTATTTTGACCAGAGAAGGACAAAGCAAGAGAGACAAACAGAGAGAGAGAGAGAAAGCCCTCAGGTCCAGGATTTGAACTATGGTCGACCATGTGGGAATCTAGCACTCTTAACCCTTAACCACCATGCCACTTGCCAGCCATCAGAAGTAATTCTTAATGGTGCCCCCCATTTGTAGTGTTCTGTCCAGGGTACATACTGCTTACACCAAAAGTTAGAATCATGAAGAACGATGTTTTTTCTCTTGAAAAAGGGGCCCACTGACAGAATTAGACTCCCAAATAATGAACAGCAAAGAGTTCTAATCTAATAAATTCTAATCTAATAAACAGAGCAAAGAAATATTCTACCATCTCTGAGTTAACAAGATTCACTCTTAAAGTGTGACTCTAATTAGAGATTCCCTGATAATAAGTTTGGCATAAAGTTATGTCTAAAACATCATAAAACTTCTTTCTCCATGGAACTTATCACAGAGGTCAATTTTTTACACCTATATTAATGTATCATCTCAACTTTCATCTTTTGTTTACATTACTCTTTGCAACCCTACTCTGACTTCTCTCTTCTTTGAACTCCTACTGGATTTATAGACTGCACTATGAGAATGTAATCTTTTTGAGGGAAGATTGTGTATCTCATACTTTTGTATCATTCACTTTGCTTAGCAGAGGGTTAGGCATACAGTAGTTGTATGTTTCATATGCATTGGCTTATAAGGTAATAATATGGAAAATAGGCATATATTGGCAGAACCTCAGATAGTTTACTTGTAAGGTCTCCCTGTAAACTCCTCTCCCAAACAACAAACATATCTTCCTCCCTTTGTTAATTAGAAAAATATGGTCTTGGCAAAGATTAAAAAGTTGGGATTTAAGATATCCGGACACCTAAGAGCTTCAAGGTTTTCAATCCCAGCCTTATATTTGAAATCCAGCAAAAAAAAAAATTCCATAAGCTTAAATAGCAACTTAATTATTGAACACTTTTATTTTATTTAAATACTTAAATTTTGTTTGAAAACACAAAGGTATGTCGAATCACTAAATATGATTTATTGATTGGATCTGAGTCCAAGTCCTTAGCAGATATCAATAAAATCTACCCAAAGGCAGCTGCCCTTCCCAGACAACTAGCTCTATGGTCTGGTTTCACAAAGATCCAACCAAAGTATGCTTACATTCTTATGGCATCAGAATTTGTAACAGACTCCTAAGTCTCAGTGAAATACAAAATTCTAGAAGCTTCCACATGCATCCTGACAGCCACTGGCTAAGTGTTACTCATGTGTTACCTCTTGTCCTTGTAGTTACTCAGAGTTAATTATTATATACCACTTTATAGGCAAGGAAATTGAGACTTAGAAGGATTAAGTTGCTTTCACAACACCAAAGAGTTACTATTATTTCAGTTGTAATAAGATATTTTGTAATCAGAGAAAGCCACAATTCTCCTACCTGAACAATTTGTTTTATAAACAGAAAGATTTTTTTGGGGGGTGGGATTTGGGGAGATTTTTTTTGCTATAGGGCATGTGCAATCGCCAAGGAGACAGAGAGAGATGAAGAGAGAAAAAGTGAGAAATCATGCCCCAGGGGGGATGGTCACTCCACAGTCCCTTCTCCTCCATTCTCCTCTTGGGATTTTGGGCATGTATGCACATGCACCTGGTGTGAGTTTCAAGCCATTGAATCTGGAACTTGAACTGTGATTGGCCATTTGGGAGTTCTGCACCTTAACCACTACATCATCCGCTGGTTCCCAGAAAGGTATTTTAATGTGGCATTTATGTGGTTAAGACTGATTCTCAAAGATGAAGGGGTTATTGCTTTTGGCCCTGGTTCTAATGCTCTTATGTATATTTACTATACATATATGGCAAATGACTGCAGAGCTGATGTCAGGGTAGGATTATGAGAGAACCAAGGGTATCTATGAAGTTTTGCCTATGAACCCAAATCCCATAATAGACCTGTGGGTAGAAGTACTGGAACAATTTCTGTATAAAGGAGTGAATTGAATGGGATGATATTTGTAAGATGGGAAAACTCAAATTCAGTAGAATATATTGAAAAGAATTCTAGATTTGGAGCAAACAGACTTAGCTTCTAGTAACTATCAAAATATTTACCCTTTGTGCTCTGCTGAGCCCCTTATTTTTGTGAATTAATTTTTTTTCATTACTAAAACAAGCTAAATTCAGGACCAGGAGGTGGAATAGAGGTTAAAGCATCAGGCTCCCGCATGGTCAACTCTGCAGTTAAAGTCTTGGACCTGGCAGCTTGAAAAATCATGCCAGGCACGTGTGCATGAGTGTTCTAAATCTCAAAAGGAGAATGGAGGAAAAGGGACTGTGGTGTAGCCATCCCCCCTGGGGAGTGATTTCTCACTTTTTCTCTCTTGTTCTCTCTCTTTCTCTGGAGAGTGCATGTGCCCTATAGCAAAGCTAAAAAACAATAAGATAACTTGAACTTGAAGATGATCTTTAAATCTCTTCTAGTTTTAACTTGGCATGACCTTATGGGCATTGCTCTTTTCAACTACTGCCCCTAACTAATGCCATCAGCCTTGCCACTGCCACTGTTAATATCACATATTATATAATTATGTGTTATATACATAATTGCCATTAGTAATTATTGAAAAACTATATATTATGAATTATCAGGTCAGAATATATCATCTCCATTTTACAGATGAAGAACTTAAGATTCAAAGAACTGATCTCATTTACCTGAAGATGCAAAGTTATCAAGTGCCAGAGTCAAGAAGGTGGAATTTAGGCTCTGGAATCAAAGTAATTATTCTTTTCCTAATAGAATAAGAACTCTGTCAATACTCAATCTCTCAATCTTCCCCTTCTTTTAACTTTTCACCATTAAGCCACTAGCACCACAGAACAAACATGCTTATCAAATTTACTTCTCCTATTTTCTTTGATGATAGAGCCAGGCTGTGGGCTTGTCATCTTGAGAAGAGAGCTACAGAAAGTTTGCTGCTAAGGGCTCCTCCCACTCTCAGGGAGACAACCGTAATAGACTCCTATAAGCCATTTAGAAATTTAACTTGTTTTGCCTTACATTTTTCTTCTTTTATCCATTACAGTCCCACATGGGCTGCCCAAACTAGTCTGATTTCCATGACTATTTGTTCTTCATTCAGTCACTTACAACTAAAGCCAAAGAATAGCAGCTAGAATTGGAAACTTTGCTATTTCTTTAATTAAATTAAATCAACTCAAATAACCTTTCCTGACATCATATATACAGATTTTTTGATATATTCTGAAAATACAAACATTTTCTATCAACTAGGGAAAATAAAAGTTGTTTTTGTTCCTGAAGTTAATTAAAGCAATTAGACCATTCATAAACTAACATCTTTTTAAAAATCATTTATTAATTTCATTTATTATTATTATTATTTTTAAATTTGCTATAAGGCACATGCACTCATCAGACATTCTCACGAGAGAGAGAGAGAGAAGGAGGGAGGGAAAGTGAGAAAGCAAGCCACCAGGTCCAGGACTTGAATCATAGTCAGCCATGTGGGAACTTAGCACTTCAATCTCCATGCCACTTGCTGGCCCCTAGAGTAACATCTTAAAGTTTGAATTTCAACTTCTCTACATGAATTTTACGAAATTTTTCATCATTTAAGAAGTAGATCTAATTAGGTATTATTTTTTCAATTGAGGTATTATTTTACAGGTAGAAAGAATCAAGCTCTTTGGGCAGACCTAGGATCATATCATGACTCAAAGTTATTGATTCTCTAGCTTTAAACATTGCTTCATAACTCTGAGCTTAAGTGTCCTCATTTGTAAAATTAGGATCATAGTTCCTGCGACAAAGATCACTATGAAAGTTAAATGGAAAAATATGTGAAAGTACCTAATTTTATATCTGGTACACAGTAAGCATTAAATAAATGTGAGCTCATTTCTTCTTTACTTGTACACAGAGTCATCTCCCAGAGTCTTTGGTTAGATCGTACACTTTTCTGGGATTAGAAAGTCCTCCAAGGGAAGACTTATATTAGTTTATGGAATAAAATATTACCTGATTCTAGAATCACAAAAGGCTAATGGTGATCTTTAAAAAAGAAAGAAAGAAGGGACCAGCAGTTAGTGTAATGGCTATGTTGCTGGACTCTCACGTAGTCAACCGCGGTTCGCGTCCCTGACCTGGTGGCTTGAAACTCACGCCGGGCGCGTGTGTGTGCGTGCCCAAGATCCCGAGAAGAGACTGGAGGAGAAGGGATTGCGGTGTGGCCATTCCCCTGGGGGTTGATTTCTCGCTTTCTGTCTCTATGTCTCTCTCTGTCTGTCTGGCCAGCACACGTGCCCTATAGCAAAAACCTCTCCAAAAAAAAAAAAAAAAGAAAGAAAGAAGGGAGAAAGAAAATATCCCAGAAAGCTAGTTGTGTGGGATGGCTGGAGAGTCTAAAGCAGTAATTCTTTAAAGTGAGAGAGTGGAAAACATGTCTAATTTTTAAAAGTATATTCTTTATTATAATAAGAATGTTTTGAAGATAAAATAAAAACAAAATTATTTCCCCTTTAACAAAAACTGCTAAAAGTGCAGACCTAAAAAATCTTCTTGGCTATTGGACACTTATTGTGATGACATAAGTATTTCTATGAGTCCAGAGTCTGGCACCTAGGGAGGGCAGTCCACAATAACTTTGTAGTGAAAGTTTTATAATTCTCAAAGGGAACCTTGGTTTAAAAGATTGAGAAATGTTGAATAAGTGTCCCTGTCATTGTGGAAATCAGACTTCAGAACCCTTGCCCTTGTTTGTTTTTGTGTTTTATCATTTATTTTAAAAAGAAAATTACTTACAAAACATTTTCCTGTGGTCTAAAAGTTCAAAATTATCTGAGAGAAATATAGTGGTCACTGAAAAGGATACTGAGTTCTCTATAAGATCTGAACTATATTTACTGAGGATTCTCTCTAGTTAGATTACCCTTCTTTGGCCTCATTATTCACACTTCATGGCATAAAACTCTTCTCAGGTACCTAAAAGTACCTTCCTGCAGCCTAAAATCAAATCTCTGTATTGGTAGAAAGTAAATTACAGAGTATTCTAAGCCCTCCCCCATTATTATACATAAGATTCTTAAGACCCATGGAAACAAAAAGTATCTTGCCAAAGGCCACCCAATGAATCATTAGCAGAACTTCAACTGTAACCTAAACATCTTGACTCGTATATTGATCCATCTTCTTCACCACTCTGCCTATGATGCATGTGAACTACTAGATGAAAATTTCCTTCCAATATATCCTGATTTGCAGTATAAGTACAAGTTTTGGTCAAAAGATTTTAAATAAAGCATAGACTGTCTCACCTTCCTAGAGCTATTTATCTGATTGTTGAAACTCTTAGAAAGGATGGTTTCATAACAAGTAGCTATCATCTTTGTTAGTGACATGACAGAGATCTATAGACTAGCTTGCCTCTTAGGACTCCAACTGACTTACCCCAAATTCAATTAGCCACAAAGAGCCAGTCAAAATCATCCAGAAATGTGCTTAATCATTTGGTGTTTTATACTCACTCACTGCTAGGATTTGAGTAGTCCATAAAACAAATTCTACAACTTTCCCAGTTAAGCACAAAAAAGAAGTACATTTGACTAAATAAGGACCTGAGTTTAATAGGAACCATTGTAAGAACAATTTCCCTGAATTTATGACCTGCTTTTTAGTATATTTGATGGCATTTTCTACCTTAGTATGCCTGCATATCAACTACTTTCAGCAATGAATCATTTTACTGTCTTGTGATTGCTAAATAATAAACTCCCCTGATTGATAAAAATGACAATACCTTCCCCTTTGATAGCCAAAATTAAAATATCCTCACTTACAGGATCCTTAGAACTGACACTGCTCCCCACAAAAACACAAGAAAGTCTGTTATCATTCTATCCAGCCTAATCCTGGTGCCAACCGACTTGGCATAGTCTGACTTCAGCGACTCCACTATTGGAAGTCTCTTTTCAACTCAATCATACTAGCTCAGAACAAGCGAGGTGTTAGTACTTGGAGCAGTAACGATAATCATTTATCAAAAAGATGTGCTGCACTTTTGGACTCTGCACAGTTGGACTGAACTTGGGTCAAAAAATAACTTTCAAAAGATCAAAGAACCCTTCAAGCAGACTGAAATCATTTGGGATGATTTCTTCTTTCCTAACTTAGAAACAAACAATATCATAAATGCATTTACAGTTTTCATTGGGAGATACTGGCTGCTGTAGGGGAAAGAGAACCTGAGTTAGAAGACACAATTCTGAGTTCCAGAGCTAGGTGATCCTAAATGTTTTTACTTCAGTGGCTCTCAATTTCTCCATCTGTATTATGATGTATTTCAATCTCTAAGATCCCATTCAGTTACAAAGTCTATGATCTAACTTCCTTTCTTTCTGCTCAAGAAGAACTTACTTTTTGTATTAGTAACTATGAAAGTTAAACTGACCAAAGTAAGGAGTTTATACATAAAAACATTCCTTCATTACTCAGCAAAATAAACCATACGTGGAAGAAATTCAAATTTTTTATTAGCTAAATATGTTAAGTTGTCCCAGTGAGTCTCCTGAATATGCTTCTTGCTCAGCATTTGGTGCCATGCAAAAAAGTCCTTAACAAAAAGTGAGCTGCATCAAAGACTCCATGCTTCTGCTATAATGGTGCAGTGGGGACTGATAGTACTAATGCTAACGACTCTGGTTAAGATTCAAGGACAATCGCCTTTTCTCCTGCTGTAAGAAGTCTGAGATGAGAAACTAGAGAACATCTCAATTCAGAAACTGTACCCACATCTGTCTCTATCCTGATCTTCATGTTCCCACCAATCTTCCTACAAGAAACCACCAGTTTCCAGGAGCTAAGCTGTAACTTACCTTGGAGTTCAGCTGGGATGAGTACTCTTGTTTCTTTGCAGTGAGCTGGGGATTCAAAAAAAAAAAAAAAAAAAAAAAAAACAAAAAGCAAACTAATTCTGAGTGGTACAGAGCCTGCTGATAACTGACAAATTTGTTGTTGAAAGAGGAAGTTGAATGCATTTGGTGTCTCACCACAAAAACCTTATTTGTGCAGACTGAAGGTAAGTCCCTTGAGCAGATGACGTTACTCAAGTTTTATTTCTTATTTAACTCATGCAAAGAAATTCAAAGAACAGGGAGTCAAAGCCATATACACATTCAAACAATGACTGTATATCAGGCTTCCTCACTGTTCCCCACCCTATCTCCTTTTACCACAATCCACATGCCTGTGTTTCTTACTAAATTCTAGTAGGTTTCATAGCAAGATGGGCTTTTCAGGAAAAAAAAATATGAAGAGAATTTGCCTTGGGATAGAAAAGATACAGCTCCTTCAAGCCTGAGTGTTAAAGGTTGAGGATATCTTAAGAATACAAGTCAAAACTAAAAGTGGTAGGACCACCTTTTCTTAAGCTACTCTTACAAGAAGGAAAGTGCCCTTCTCCTTACCCTTTCATCTTAAGGTTCACAGCTTAATGTGTAGTTTAGTTATTTTTTTGTACATTTAGTATCTGCTTACTAAACTGTAAACTGCTTGAGTCCAAAGACCATGTCTGAGTCATCTCTGTATTACCAGTTACTCTAACAAAATGCACTTTCATTAATGTTTATTGGATGAATAAACAACAGACTGAATAAATTAATGTTCAAAGAATGTATGAGGCACAGTGTGGTGATATAGTAAGCAGCCAACTGAACTGCAGTAATAGAAGTCACATGGCTAACTGTAGGTTTGGATCCCAGGGTGAGCATGCCCAAGATCTTGACGAGGCAGAGGGCTGTGGGAAGGAGATCACAGCATGATAAGACTCTGTCAAGGGTTTTCTCTCTCTCTTGCTCTCTCTGATTCTCACATGCACATACTCTCATGAAAAAAAAAATACGCTTTAAAAAAATAATGCAGAAATAAATAAATGAACATTATTGAATAGCGTGTTTCCCTCCAGTATATTAAGATTCTAGTCTTTATATACAGTATCTATGGGGCCCTCGTATATATGCAAATAAAGAAAGATCATACATTTGGAGACTCTAGTCTCAGTCAAATCTGAGTATACTTCTGAAAAATAAGGCTAGCAAAGTAGCACAAACTTCTGTGGGTATGTAAGGGAACCACATCCAGAACTAAGGGCCTAGAGTTGCAAAGAGCCTTCTAGGTAATAATCATACCAAAGGAGAAAAATAAATTAATGTGGGCTAGGTCAAAGTGTACTATCTTGGTTCATTGCAAAGGGCTGATTGAAGATGGAAGTGAATAACAATATTCTTGTAGGAGGGCATCCTGGATCTTCAACAAACTTTCTTTCTAAAAACAGAATCATTGAGAGAATTAGGTAGAGCTGTGCACAACATTCAGAGATGGCCAGGCCAATACAAATCACAAAGGCATTAATGGAAAAGAGGAGTGTCCAGAATTAGAAATCAAGAGCTTGGGTTGATTGATAAGACTATGTCTTTTTTTTTTTTTTTTACAGGTTTTCGCTATAGGGTGTGTGTGCTCACCAGACAGACAGAGAGAGACATAGAGACAGAAAGCGAGAAATCACCCCCCAGGGGGGATGGTCATGCCACAATACCTTCTCTTCCATTCTCCTCTCGGGATCTTGGGCACGCATGCACACGCGTCCAGCGTGAGTTCTAAGCCACCAGGTCCGGGACGCGAACTATGGTCGACTATGTGGGAGTCCAGCGACATAGCCATTACGCTAACTGCTGGTTCCCTATAAGGCTATGTCTTGTGAGGACTGACAAAAGGAGAGGATACTCACTGTAACTGATGCATGTTTAATGAAACAAGCTTGACCTTGCAGTCCCTTTAACAATTCTGATTTCATATATTTATCCAGCTCCAATCTGCTGTTAATTTAGTATTCTGACTTGACATGCCTATTAAAAAGAGAATACACTGACAGGTCTACACACATTTCAGTCCATTTGGCAGTTCTATTCCTCACTATAAATTATTAAATTGGATGTTTGGTACACATACATCCCTTGTGAGTTTAAGAGCAATATGAACTAGTTTTGCTAGGGTATGATGCCCATCTGAGCAAAGAAAATCCAAGAGTTTTTGAGATTTGACCCTGAACCTTGAATTAGAGGGCAAAAAAGGAAACTTTTCCTGACAATGAGTTATCATTATTACATCCTTTTTTTCATTTCACAAACAATACCTTAACATTGCTTGAAAAAAGCCCAGTACCTTATCTCATTTCTCTTTTGTGTGCAAGTATCCTCTTTATCATTGACTCTAAAAGGAGAAGCTAAAGATATATAGCCCAAGTTAAATATATGTTTATTACATCTAGTTTATTTACTGTATTATATAAATTTTTGAATTGGTTTTAGATTTTGCCTGCTTTATCTAACAACAACAACAAAAAAAGAAATAAGTCAATGTCCCAATTAAGGCAAAGAAACATCTCAACTCAGGTAAATTTTGAGTGTTAATTACAAGAAGCAAAGCTATAAACAAACTAAAAAAGCTGATACACCTTAACAGCACCAACTAATTTCAGAAGAAAATCTTCTAGCTATTTGGTATTAGTGATGGTCTAGTTACCACCTCAAACCAAGTATTAAATATCCCAGTCATAAGAGTCTAAAAAGTAGTGCATCTGTCCCATTTTGCCTATATTCTGAATTCACCCCTTCACCTTATATATCCCCCTCAAAGTTTACTTTAGTTGGTGGATCATGTGTTCCCTAGATTATTATTTTTATTCATTTGTTTCTTCTAAGGCTTTTAGGTCTCTTTAATAGTAACAGTAAAAGAGAAATGAGAGTTACTATTGAGGGGATTATTCATGGTAATAAATTATGTTTTCTAGGAAAATTCAAGAGTGCTATCTAATCTTAGTTATCAGGAAAAACTAGAATTTTTAGTTAGCACCTGTTTTTATTCTTATAGATACTGATTGTGTAACAGGTCATGTGTTTTTGTTTAATCTGCAGAAAACTTGGAACCAATTTAAAGTCCACTGGAAGCAAGCATAGAGATCTTTTGATGGTGTGCTTTGTGAATTACCCTCTTTAATGGCTCATATTTTTTTTCTATTTTTTTTGAGAGGTTTTTACTATAGGGCGCGTGTGCTCACCAGACAGAGAGAGACAGAGAGACAGAAAGCGAGAAATCACCCCCCAGGGGGGATGGCCACTCCGCAATCCCTTCTCCTCCGTTCTCCTCTTGGGATCTTGGGCATGCACGCACACGCACCCAGAGTAAGTTTAAGCCACCGGGTCCAGGACTCGAACCACGGTTGACTACGTGGGAGTCCAGCAACATAGCTATTACGCTAACTGCTGGTCCCTTTAATGGCTCATTTTTATGTCCTTGCCCACTTTCTCTTTATTACTACTTTTCCCTTTAATAAACAATTTTCTTTTGTTAATGTAACTATGAGGAAATGTTTTACTAAGTTTGTGTGTTTTCTTCATTATTCATGGTCAACTATTCCTACTTTTTATATTTATTTATTTATTTTATTTTTAAATTTTATTTACCTTTAAATATACATTTAATTACTATATAACTTTAGAGTGTACAATATTGTTTTTTCCAGCATGAATATAGTGTATACCAGATAAGACAAAGACATTACCATATGCATTACATCAGCAAATAATTTTTCATTTTTGTGTCAATCTAACATAGTTTCTTTTTCCCCTGTTGCCCTCCTTCCTTCCATTAGCCACCTCTGTAGTATCCCAATCTAAAATTGCCCTCCCTACTACTATACCGTCCAAACTTTCATTTTCTGCTATATAGCACAGAGATTTGGTATATATTGAGTGGGGACATACAAAGTTTGTTTTTATACTCTGGCTTGCTTCACTTAGCATTAAGTCTTCCATATTCATCCCCTTTGTATTAACTCTCAGGGTCTCAGTTTTTTAATGGCTGAGTAGTATTCCATAGAGTACATATGCCACATTTTTTCAGTCCAGTCATCTATTTTTGAATATTTTGGTTGGTTTCAAGTCCCAGAAATTGTCAATTGTGCTGCAGTAAACATGAATGTGCAAATGTTTTTCAGACTGAGGATTTTTCTATCCTTTGGATGGATACTGAAGAATGGAATTACTGGGTTGTATGGTAGTTTTATTTTAGGTTTCTGAGGAATTGCCAAATTGTTTTCCATGGTGGTTGTACCAATTTGGATTCCCACCAATAGTATAGGACAGTTCCCTTTTCACCACAGCCCCACCAGCACTTATTATTTATTTTTATAACTTTAGCCATTCTGACTGAGGTTAAGTGGTATCTCATTGTGATTTTGGTTACCATTTCCTCTATGATAAGAGATGTCAAACATGTTTTAATAAGCATTTTAGCTGTTCATATGTCTTCTTTGGACAGTTGCCTGTTGTCTGTTCAGCTCATTTTCCCATCTTATAATTAGATAGATTAATTTTTTTATGGGTATAATGCTTGAGTTCCCTGTTTATTCTGATTATCAGTCCCTTCTCTGAGGTATAGTTTGCAGATATATTCTCCCACTCCGAAGCTTGTTGTCTCACTCTATTTATTGTTTCTTTTCCTGTACAGGAGCTTGTAAGCTGAATATAATGCCATTTTTCTATTTTTGGAACTATTTCCTGTTTGAGAGTCTTCTTAAGAAGTCTTTGCCTGCAAAGCACAGGCAATACTTTCTAAAATAGACAGGTGGGACTATATCAGACTAAGAAGTTTCTGCACAACAAAGGACACAGTAACAAGTGTGAATTGACAACCCTCAGAATGGGAGAATATTTTTGTAAAATATACCTCAGACAAGGGACTGATAATCAGGATACACAGGGAACTCAAGCAGCTTACTAAAAAAAATTAACCCAATTAAAAAATGAGAAAATTAGCAGAACAAAAATCATTCTAAGGAAGACATATGAACAGGCAAAAAGCATATGAGGAAATGCTCAACATCCCTCATCATAAGAGACACGCAGATTAAAGCTACAACGAGATACTACCTAACCCCTGTCAGAATGACAAAGATTAAAACTATAAAAAGTGATAAGTTTTGGCAGGGATGTAGTGAAGGGGAACTCTCCTACACACTTGGTGGGAATGTAAACATGTTTAGTCACTGTGGAGAACAATATGGAGGTTCCTCAAAGATCTACAAATAAACCTACCATTTGATCCAACAATCCCACCTCAGGTATCTACCCAAAGAACAGAAGAATTCTTAATTGGAAAAGTGCTTACACATCCATGTTTATTGTGGCATTATTCACAATAGCTAAGAT